AATAGTTAAAAGCTAAATTCTTTCCTCAATTCTGCATGAGAAAAGTGCTGCTTATAGCAATTTGACATCATTCCATTAGATTAGATTAATTTTTAAATGTGTTATTCTAACAATTATGCCAACTACCATATAATTAATATTCCAACTGACTTTACAAAAATTACAAATTCCCCTAGAGAAAATAATTAGTCATTGGGCATGAATGAGACTTTTCTATGGCCAACAGCATATGAAACAGAAAGTTCATCTCATAATGGGTGGTATCAAAGCCTCTGCCATGCTTCCTTCAATTCCTAGTCAATAGTGCATAAAGCTGACATTGGCAACTTACCCCAAACTTCACTTAACATATTAATGCACTTACTGGTTTAAACACTTTGAGGGTAAAATGATGAATGATGAAAGCTTAAGCAATTAAAAAGCTCTTTTCATTTGCAGGAAGGGCAAGATAAACACATAATTATTTGCTTCTTCCATGTCCCCAGCTGGAAATTAAAATCCTAGCTTATTTCTTGAGGCTACTTCCTGAGTTTATCAAAGAAATGTACATAGGCATATTTATCCTTGTTTTCTCCTTTTCTGTTAGGGTTATACATATTCTTATAATCTGCCTTAAATCCTTTCTAGAGTAAGGAAAGTCATAAATAAGTTAATAGCACTATGGGACATTATCTGTTATAACAAATTAAAAAACATGTTTTCCTCACAGCTTTTTTTTGAGTAACTGGCACTGGCTGCCTAGCCCCGAACAGACAGTTTGCAAGGATTTGAGCCAATACACACATAGCCTGACCAGGAAAGAATTCAAAGGTTGATTAGTGATGTCTGCCCCAGAAAGAGCAATAGATTAAGGACCTATATACCGTGCGTTTGTCATCTCTGATAAACCATTAAAAATTAGGAAAATGCATACAGAGTCATGAATAAAATATAATGTGAATTGTTACTAGGGTGCAGGTAAATGGGACAAAAAGTTTTCTATAGTTTAAAACCTTAAGCAATCCTGGACTAAGACATAAAGATTTAGAGCAGTGGGTCTCAACCTTCCTAATGCCACAATGTATTTTCATTGTTAAAAAGGGGTCACACGCAACCCACAAATTGAGGGTTGGGTGCAGTGGCTCACATCTGCCTATAATCCTAGAACTCTGAGAGGCCAAGGCAGGTGGATTGCTTGAGCTCAGGAGTTCAAGACAGCCTGAGAAGAGTGAGACTCCCCCCTATCTCTACTGAAAATGAAAA